ATATGTAATCGAGCAGAAGGTACTGGGTTTTTTCTCTGGTGGTAGAAATACTATTTTCATGGCTTTCTTGCTTGTTAAATCAAAAACTACACAATAGAAAAACAGATTCGACATACGCACTTCACCTTCTAGATCATAATCATTCTATTAATGACAAATTTAAAATTCTTCACATTCAAAATAAAGGTGTTAAGCTATCTTTGTTAGAATCTATGGAAATCAACAAATTAAAAAACACAGATATAATTCTGAATGACCTACTTGAGACAAACAGTTCTCCCCTTTTCAACCTATTTCATTAGAGACTATAAATTTGTAAACCCAAGCCAAAAATAGATCACCTGAGAAAAGCTATCAACCGAAACAGCTGTAGTGATAATAGTTAAAATAAATTTTGTGGAAGTTTGAAAACAAAGTTTTCAGTATTTTATTGTTACATAATTAAGTTGATTTAATTTATTGCTAAGTTGAAATATTTTTATATCAAAGTCTTTAATTTTCTTCTTAATGTCCACTTTAAACTCCGCTAGTAGACTCGTGATTTCAGTAATATTCCCAATGATTAAATGCATTGCAAAGTATACATATCTCTCGTACTTTTTGCTTCGTCACTCGATCATCGACCAATATATCCGTGAAAGCAATGCGCGATGTGTATTGGTTTCCTACAGCCATCATATTGGAGCTTTCGATCGCAGATAAAAGTTAGTTTTAAACAATTGGCGCAAAACAATGTATTAGGCATGATTACCTTTGTGTTAGTCTTAGATATGAATTTTAAATATTAGATTAATAATAAATAGCAAATTTATCGTTATCACTTACTTAAATGTATGTATAATTTTGACATTATTTTAACACGAAACGAATGATGTCGAAAAATGAACGAATTAATAATAAAACCTCACCATACTTCATAATGAAGATAATATAACCGCTACAAAATATAAACAAACCAGAAATTAAAATATTTACTAAAACGAGAAAAAAAAAGATTAAGCAAAAATCTAGGGATATACATAAAAACGTCAGAAAACTTCGTACGAGAAGATTACAAAATGAACATTACAGCGCTCATACATACTCTGAAATCACTAGCAGTTTCGGGAGGAACTCTAGCAATTGCTAGTTCCTAGAAAGTCCTAATAAATATTAAGACAAAACAAAACAATAACCTTCTATAATAGAACAACTACAAAAAGGAAACAACAAAAACAACATAACTACAGAAATAGAAAAAAATACACGATCACTTTAACCACATAAAAGACATAACCAAACTAAAACAGGACAACCTACCTATGGATAACCTACCTACTAAGAGACATAAATGCCACACGTACCGAACTTCGAAACTGGATTAAAAACCGGAAAACATAATATAAAAAATCTTGATGTAGACCTTCGATAATTAAAAACGGAAACTAAAAGTTTCTTCTAATGGCATCAAAACTTAGACTGATTTTAAGTCAAATTTAATGTTTGGCGTTAAGGGCAAGCTTTTATGTAATAAAAATGTAATAAAGAGAATAATTTACAAAAGAGCTTTGTTCGTAATTGTTAAATTACGGTTGATGAGTTGGGTTTTGTTTGGTAGATTTGAAACAGTGGATTTCTGGATTTAAAGTTAGAAAAAGGTCATGTACTGAAATGTACGTAGACCAGTGCTACACCTGCTGAGTTTGCTCTTCACGGAGAGCAGAAACCATGGTACTTCTGATGGTGGTAACAATTTCTTATCTTTTGTACAAACTTAGAGACCAAGGAATCCGGGCTGCAGAAGAATGTCCTGGATGAGAAATCTAAGTGTGCGTTCATAACGAGGCGCTGACCCTCACACTGATCATGGGATAGTATCATATTATCGATTTTTGGTAAAATAAATGCAATATTTTAAAGGCGAGCGTTTACTGTAGGTGCTATGATCTAGGAGAGGATACGATGCCATGGTCTCCGTAATAAACGCACCATAAGAAAGTGGTTTGGTTGCACCACAACGAACTATTTGGAACAGATTCAAACAAAGTTTGAATAGCCTTGATGATATCCAATCTCTCGAATAGAATAGGAACCAAAAGAAATAGAAATAGAGCTTGTTATATAGCACAATTTGTTTTAAATCATATATTTAAAATAGTGTAAAGAACAAATTTATCGTGTTTATTTATAACCTAAAAAGCGATATAAGAATACATAATTACTAAATATCCCCACACCGATCATAAACGACAGTCCATGAATCATATAATAAATTTATGGCAAGCAACCTGGGACGAAACAGACTCCAAGTTGAAAACAATAAAGCCTCGAGTAGACGCCAGCCTACCACAACAAGGAAAAAGAAGAGTTCAAGTAATCGTCAATCGTCTTCGAATCGGCCACACAATACTAACACACAAAAACCTTCTAAATAAAGAACCAGCTCTGATTTGTACCTACTGCTCTACTCAACTCACCGTGAAGCATCTGATAGTCGACTGTCCGCAGTTCCAACCTCAGAGAACATGCCGAGGAATTAGTGGAAACCTGAAAAATGCGCTTAGGACAAATATCTCGGATTTATTGCTGTTTCTAAAAGACATAAATATTTATAATAAAACTTTAATTTATCAAACTCTACAACTGTGTATGTCCCCCCACTAATAACCCTTGCTGGTTGATGTTCTCTATGTTTAAATAAAAAAAATACATACGAACTTATACTATATTTGATCTAAAAAATGTAATAATTAATACTGTCAAATAGATTTTTAGGCATGGACTACGTACACCGGTAGAATTCTGTCCTAGCGATCCATATCAAGACACGTCATATTGGGGAGGACTGGCTGCTGGACAACTAACTAATGTATGTACACTTTTGACAAAAAAAAAATATATAAATGATATTATAAATTATCGATAAAAAAATAGTTATGTTTTTTATGCCTATAATAGATTTTGTTATCAGTAGTAATATCCCTAGGACATTGATAACAGACGAGATAATTTCATGACAATCGAAAGCTCGTTCCTTGGTAACAGCAAGAAGCCGAAGGCTGAGTAATGTTACCAAGCCACGAGCTTGAAAAATTTGTCATGAAATTATGAGGCATTCATCAATGTCCGAGGGATATTCGGCGGATAATTTTTCAAAAAAAAAATCATAACACAACATAACGAAGCATTTATTTATTAAAAGTATAGTTAGTGAAAGTACAATTACTAAAATTTAAGTTAACATTAGATTCGTTGCTGTTCTCTACTATAGAAGATCTATTACCACGCATAATATTTATAATCTTGTTGTGGTGTCTTGATCGAGATTCAAGTATGGTTTTATAGAATTCTGATTACCATGACCAGTAATTTTTAGCAATTGTTGTTCTTCTACACCACTTTTTGCTAATTCGCTAACAGCAGTTGATCTCTTTGAGTGATTTGTTATCTTTGAAACGTGACATTTTGAAATTTATTTGGATGAAGTTGTCAAACTCGATCGTGTTGTCATAGGGATTGAAAATTGCACTGAATGCAATTATCAGTCTAATGTTGACATGGTTGGGTGAAATTGTTCCACATGACACAAAATGACGAAATTTGAATGGTTGTTAGAACAGTCGAAAAATTATCATTATAATTTCTATAATGATGAAATATTTCTATACGTACCTAAGAGGTGGAGGCCATAAAACAAAAAAAGAAGAAGAAATATTTCTATAAATAAGATATCTCAAATTGGGAATATATGTGGTTGCTTTTTTTATTTCTTCTAATACTCTTACTAATACAAATTACATATATATATATATATATATATTATATATATATATATATATATATATATATATATATGACTGTTGTCGAAACATAAACAGGCATTCATTCTTTCTTCTTCTTCTTTTTTATAAGCAAAATGCTTGTTCAATGTCGATTAATGCCTCTATTGGAGGTTATCACTCCATCTCTTGCGTGGTCGCCCGATACTTCTTCTACCTTTTGGTGATTTGTCCCTCGCTATTCTGACTAATCGGGTCTCTTCCATTCTGTTTATGTGTTTGTTCCATTCCTTTCTTCTGTTCAGTGTCCACTCATTTATTTCTGGTATATTGCATTTTCTTCTGATCTTTTCACTCCTCATTCGATCCCTCAGTGTGTTTCCTGTAATTCTCCTCAGTAAACGCATCTCCGCTGGTTCTAGTAGTTGCTGAGTTTTTGAGGTATCCGGTCTTGTCTCTGAAGTGTATGTCATTATTGGTCTTATTGTTGCTTTGTAGATTCTTGATTTCACGTCGGTAATAATGTGGGGATTGCGCCATATCGTGTTATTAAGACAACCTGGTATTTTATTAGCCTTTTGTACTTGATTTTTCACTTCCTTTTCCACATCTTCGTAGCTAGACAGTGTAATTCCTAGGTAATTTGTCTCCATTACTTGCTGAATGCTGATACCATCGATTTCCAGTTTACATCTAATTGGTTCTTTACTGATTACAATTGTTTTAGTTTTCTGTGTAGAGATCACCATTAAAGTCCTTTGCCCTTGTGTTGAATCTATGGGTTAGTCTTTGTAGATCGTCTTCATTGGATGCAATTAGGGCTGCATCATCTGCATAGCAGAGTATTCTGATTTCTATGTTCCCCATTTTGTATCCTCTTCCTTTATTAATAGTATTGATGATTTCATCCATGATGAGATTGAATAGCGTTGGACTAAGCGAGTCTCCTTGTCTTATTCCATTGCCCCTATCTATTGGATCTGTAAGCTGGTCATCCATTCTGACTTCCATATTGTTGTTCTGGTAAATGTTCTCTATTGTTTTTATAACATCTAGTGGAATTTCTCTATCGTAAAGAGTATATTTTCATTCTAGTATATAATAATTCATTCTTTCTTGTATATAATATGCCGCCATATAATATATTTAACATTTTGTCCCCTTTTCTTGTTTACTAATTGAATTATTTGTTTTATATTTTTATTTGTTTTATTTTTATCAATTATTTTTTTTTACTTTTAGGAAGGAAAACGGCAACATTTTAAGCTAGGTCAATATACGAGAAGTAGATATTCAACTTTTATACCCAAAAAGTACGACCCATCTTTTTTATATGCACAAACAACAGACGTAGATCGTACGCATATGTCAGCACAAAGTAATCTTTATGGCTTATTCCCTGTATCGACAAATGATCAGCAGTGGCAAAACAATATAAATTGGCAGCCCATACCTGTTCACCCCGCAAATAAAGTTATTTTGTCTAGCTTACTATATCCAAAAAACTGTCCAGCTTTTACGAAGGAATTATTAGCAGTGCTAAGTAGCGAAGAGTTTACAACGTACGACTCAGAAAATTCTGGACTGTATGCTTACTTGACTGCAAATAGTGGAATTAATGTGACGGATATTATAACCGCAAATGATATATGGGATGCTGTAAAAATAGAAGACTCTGTTGGATATAGTTTACCAGCTTGGGTCAAATCTATCTATCCTGAGCCAATTCGAACAATGACTGGAAAATATTTTGAAGTTTTTACACACACGACTGCAATGAAACGACTTAGTAAGTAAACGATAAAACCACTACCATAATAGCATTAAAAAAAAAAAGGCAAACAGCACACTTTGTTTTGCTACCAACCTCCTTTTCTTTCTTTCTCTACATCCCTATCCCTTCTTCTTCTGTTTGTTATGTATACTATCTGTTTTTCAATGGGCCTCCAGTAAGTTATTGTCTCATCCTTTTTGAAGTTTTTTTACTGATCGTATTCCTATTCGGTAGCCGTCTCTCACCCTCTTTACTAATCTATTTCATGTAATTCGACTTATATAATTATTTTATTTTACTCTTATATTTCTTATCCAGTTGTTTTGCACCTTGCATCTTCGTCGTATGTCACTTCTAGCTCTTTGTCATAGCATCTTACCATAGATTGTTTTAAGGGTTTTCTTTTACTTTTATTGTGTTAATCTGGTAGATATTTACGATTATTTTAATTATTTCTCTTGAGTACAATAAGTGGATAATGTCCTTTTATGGTGACCCCATTAAATGCCTTCTCTAGGTACAGGAAACATACATATACTGGTTTGTTGTATTCAAATGATTTCTGTTGCACTTGCCTTATTGTAAATATAGCGTGGGTACCAATATTCTCCATTCTTCATTTTCCATTCTGGTGGTTTTCTGTTCTGCTCGATTATTTTTTGGACAAGCTTTAATAATTGTTTAGTCAGATCTGATTCTCGGTACTTTAGTTATATTGGTCATTAATCCCATATACCTTGTTCTGATGATCTTTTGATTTTTTAATTGTCTTAATGCCTCTTTTACCACCACCCCCTCCTCCTCAATGTTTACCCCTTCGTTTGTTGTCACTTCTGGCGTTAGTGATTTATTATCGTCAAATTTAAGAAAAATAGGTATCAAAACTAGTCTACCCATGTTTTTTCTAAATGTCTTTCATTTTTATTAGTTCGTTTATATCTTTTCTGTGTTCTCTGATCTTTTCCTTTTTCTTAGTAATTTTATTGCTGTTTATTTATATAATTTTTTAGTTTTTTCCAGCTTTCTTCAGTTTACTTCTTCTTCTTTTGTTTTATGGCCTCCACCTCTTAGGTACGTGGCCAGCTCATGTATCTATTTTCACTTTAATTATAGAAGGGAATTCTCTTCACAGAGATTCTGGAAATAACCATATTGCCTTCTACTATTTTGGACAATTTATAGTGGATATTCTAAAATAATTCTATATGTCAATAATGATATAGATTTTTCTAGTTCCAACTATTTATCTATTAAGCTATGTAAGGTATATCTGGAATTTTGCCTCTTGGACAGGACATCAGTGGTTAAAGGACATGTTCGGCTGGGTATTTGTTTATATTTTACTTTCATTTTAATTTGGAAAATATTGATAAACTTACCAATCGTTTTCAAGGTTTTAGCATTGATACTGTGGAAAATATTTTATACTAAAATGGGCGTTGGGCATCCATCTTTAATAAGTTTTTGATATAAATCAAATAGTGGTGTCTTATTGATAAGACACTCTAGCAAGATGTGTATTATACTTCCTATTTGCTCACACTCACAAAAAGGGAAATTGATACAATTAATTTTAAATAGATGATCTGGCGCCAAACAATGTCCTGTTCGTAACCTAATAATTGTTTTCAGGTGTCTACGGTTTACAAAGTCAAACATGGATTTATAGAGAATTCCCTTTGACATTGTTGGTACCACTTACACTTTTGTTTAACCTGTTTAAGCCAATCAAGTTTAAATTCATTTATCATCTGTTAATTGATCTATCATAATATCCCCTTTTGCTCCTGAGTGACCTGGAGTGCAGGCTATAATAATATCATGTCCTGCTTCATTTGCCTCAAGAAAACGGTGTGCATAACCGCCAAATTTCTAGGTTATAAAGTTATGTCATAGGTTATGTTATAGGTTACGTCGTGTCAACAAAATTGGAGGTTGATTCCCTTTTGCACACGGAGTTATAGGCAACATCCACATTTGGCTTAAAAGATGTGAGGGTAGATGTTTTGCCTCATGGAAAATTAAAACTCTGATTATGCTAAGGCTTCAATACTATTAACATGTAATGTAAATATTTGTATGTGTGTAGAGTATTCCTGTTTAGTGAGCGTGTGTTGTGTGTTGCATATGTATTGTGTATGATAGCGAATGGTCCGGATCCAAGGAATTTTTTTCTTTATTTTTGTTGGTGACTTCTTCTTTAAGTTCAAGTTTGCTGTCGAATGTATAATACATATATTATGGTTTTGTTTTTCTTATACTTTTTGATTTATTAACAGAATTAAGTCATTCTAGATATCCTATTAATGCTAGATACTTAAAATATGATTGAAATTGAAATTCGAGCTGGCTCCTACCGTGTTATCGACCATTAGGTAATTTTATTTGCTGTGGTATATCCCACATATTTCCTAGCGCATCTGAACGTCGCGAGGAGTAACGATTTTTGCATAATTTTATAAAGATGTTTACTTTAATATCTTCTCCGAGGCACATTACAATTACATCACAGATAGTACGATATAAGTATCATCTGGACACTTTTTAATATTTATTGCCTCCTTATTTGCAATTAAAGTTCACTAGACGTGAAGATTTTCTTGTTATATTTATTATTAATATTAGGTATCGCGAGATAATTCATAAACTATTATAAGGTTTAACTGTTTGACACTATTGGCCAGCCCGTACTGGTTAAAGACATACCTATTTCTTAAAAATTGATGATATATTTAGATCAGGCATTTAGCTAATTAAGTTTACGTATTTGAGCGAAAAGCAGTGGAATTAAGATTCTGACAACGTCAGGCAAATTAAGTCGATTTTATTGGTTAACCACAATATGATATATATGAAAACGAAACAGGAATTATCAAGAACTACTACATTTTACTTTCACCCCCAAGCCAGGTAATAATCACCCCAACATGTTTAGTGGAAATGTTTTTAAGCATTTGTGATAATAGATTATTATATTTTTAGATATCTTTATATATCAATTTACAAATAGTTTACATATTTGGGTTCTGTTCCTTCATCTCTTAGACGTGATTGTCACAGTTTGGGCCTTGATGTTCTTGTAGCGCCGTTTTTACTTCTCTACTTTGCCTTGTATTATTGTCGTTCTGTTTTCTTGTCCTTGTAGCTCTCTTTTTAACTACATTATTTTTCCTTATAATCTTTTCCCTTTTAATATACTTTATTTCCTGGTTTATATATCTAAACCTTCTTAAGTATATGACTCTTTCAACTTCAGTAGTACTGTTTCTGACCGTTTCTTGTACGATATTTTAGAACTCTATGACTTTTCTCATTTTCCTTATGTATTTCTAATACTAAGATGTTGTTGATTTCAATGGTCACAAGTCTTTTGTAGTTAAGCCTTATTTTTTTTTAATTTTTTCCTTTGTTTAGTGTCCGAAGCTCTTTTTGGAGTTTTAGGTTTCTAGGATATCGAGACACGCTAGTTCAGCATTTCCTGGAAAATGGTTCAAATGGATAAACCCTATTGCTATGGTATCATTTTTTTTAGATAGGTATCTACTTATTTAGGAGTCGTCCATTTCTGTTCGTACATCTATCGTTCCAATAATCTCAAATTTAGGTGTTCTATTATTATAAACGGTTTTACCATGTATAGAAACGCATTAAGGTCGTCATTAAGTAGTCAACCTCGTAGCCTTGCATATGCGGAGGCGATTCTAACGTCTCCTGACCTCATTTTCTTTGGTTGGTTCCAAATATTGTTTCGCTGTGGTGTTAGAATTTTGATGTGAATAATCCCTTTTTTAAATAGGATAGCAGTGCCTCCTGACCTTTCTGTATTGTCGTTCCTGTATAAAGTCCTACCAGGAAAGTTTATATTGTTTGTCAATTTAGTTTCCTGTATTACTACGACATCCATTTTAAATCTCTTTATCAGTTCCTCTAGTATTTTTTGGTTACCAGTTCTTTCACCATATGTATCAGCCCATCTTGTTACACTTTAAAAACTAGGATGATATTCTCCGTATTTTGCGTCCTAGTTATCTGTGCGCATGATTGCCAATTTTGTTTCATTGGCTTCTGCATCCTGATTGCTAGTGTTATTTACAACTTTCAGGTTTTTTATATTCTGTAGCCGGGATATTTATTACGCGACAATTACTCCCCTCTGGCCTCCAATTGTTCCTTCGATAATAAGTTGAGCGATTGCATACCTTTTTCTTTTCAGGATATAGTCCAGGTATCCAATTTTTCGTATCTTGGTTAAGTTAGTCAATTACCATTCAGCATTGCCTTGTTCCTCGCGTTATCCATCCACTGTATGGAAAGTATTCCTCACAGGGTCCACATTTCTACAGCCTCTAACGGAGAAAATGTTGAACGTCCATGCCTCCATGTCGTGTAACAATACAGATCAAACAGACTTTAATAATCCTGAAGCGAAAATATGCGGATTAAAAAGAAAGATTGCACTTATATAATAGTGGTTTAAATTTAATAAAATTATGTCTTGCTTAAGAGAGACTCTAAAAGATATTGATGAAGGCATCTAAATAAATGAAATCAAGCTCAATATCCTGCGGTATGCAAACGAGACAATAGTAGTTTATTAATATCATAGAAGGGCTGCACAACATTTAAACAAAATATCGAAAAGAAGTAAAATATGTACTTGATATAAACACCAGCAAAATCAAGCTAATGACTATCAGCAGAGAAAACATAACTGGAGCAAATCTGTATGTGAACCAAATGAGAATTGAACGTGTCTCATAGTACAACTACTTGTGAACTATAATCGAAGGACAATATCCAATAAATTTCGCTTCAATGTTGCATCAAAATGGCAGAAAGTGCATTCTTAACTATGAGTTCTGTGTTTAGGAGCCATGACCTCAGCTTAGAAACAAAACTAAGGCTCCTTAAATGTTACGTGTAGTCAGTGCTTTTGTATGAAGAAGAAACGTGAACATTAAAGGCAGAAATTCTGTCAAAACTTTAGGTTTTTGGGTTATAGTTATACAGAAGGATCCTGAAGATATCATATATAGACAAATTCACAAATGACAAAGTACTATGGAGGGTAAACACAACCGCGGATTTGGTTTACATTGTGGCGAAGGGCCGTAAGGTGCAGTACTTGGAACATATAATTAGAAATCAAGGCAGATGTGAGGTACTTCAATGCATACTTTCCAAGGTAAAATTGAAGGAAAAGGAGTCCTAGGACAACTAAGAATATCCTGGCTTGCTAACCTAAGAGCATGGCATAGAAAGACTTTAGCGCAGCTATTCCGTATAGCAACCAACAAAGTCATCAAAGTTAAAATGATCGCCAACGTTCGGAACGGACAGACACCCTAAGAAAAATGCTTTTTCGCTATGGCGTTTTGTTTCTTATTGTGGATTCAAGTGGTTATTTACCATTCTTCCCAAGTAGTTGAATATTCTCACTTGATCGATTGGAGCATTATTTTCTAGTTTAAGATTTTTTTATTGCATGCGTTTAGTTTATCCTGCATCTTTAGTCTGCATTTTTTTTTCTACAATATTTATTCTATTAAGCAGTAACTGAGTACCATGTTGATCATCGATTATTATTTCGGTATGGACGGTGTAACAAATCATTTATCGGGTAGTCTTTGACTTTTATACAGACAATAAATATTAACAAAATAATTATTTATTTTAATAAGTTTTGTATCCATTTAATCTCTTTTCAGCCATTGGCCCCTTTTTAAATGAAGTTGTGGAACATTTGGAGTCAATGGCTGCAAATCCTACCTCTTCGTATAAATATAAAATGTATAGTGCTCATGATACAAATATAGCTGCAATTTTAAATGCATTTGATGCCTTTAGCCCTAGTTTTCCTCCAGCGTTTGCATCGACAATTTATATAGAACTACATAAGGAAAATTGGAAGAACGTTGTAAAAGTATTTAATAAGGAATTGGATACTGTCAGGCAGGTCAGCATTAATGGATGTGAACTAAGTTGCCCTTTAGCTAGCGTTAGAAAATATTTAAGTAATATCATTATTGATGCTGATACTAGAGATGCGGAATGCAACAGTTCTGGGGGAGATAAAGTTCTATTAGGAAGTGCAGCTACAACTAGTAAATATTCCGCAGAAGAACTTGAACAAAAATTTGCAGGTGTTTCAACATAAAATGTAAAGTTTTATTATTTAGTTTAACTTAAATATATTTGAAATTATTAAAAATTTATAAAGATGTATATGTGTTTTAGTACTTATCCTTTAAAAAAAAAAAATTAATAAATGGTCAAGAAGTTTTTAAAATCAAAATTCAAATTATTGCATAAATCTGTGTTTTTTGCTTTAATAAATCCCATTCCATACTCCAACAAAATTATACTCTTAAATTAAACCAGAACAAACCCAAAATAAACATCCCACTAATTTATGCTCCAACTGCAGACAAACCAGAGAGCGATAATGAAACTTTCTACTAAGACCTAGATAACATTTTAAAATCCATTAAAATGCAAGATGTAACAATTATAATAGAACACTTAAACGCAAAGGTTGGGGAAGAAAAAGTAGAAGAATGTACAGGAGGATATGGTCTGGGCAACAGAAATGAACGGCGTGATAGACTTATCGAATTTTGCAAACAATAATTTTGTTATATAGCTAATACATTGTTTAAAATACCAAAGAGAAGACTATATACCTGGAAGTCACCAGCAGATCAAGAAGAGATAATTTTAAGAAACCAAATAAAGTATGTATTAGTTAGACAAAGATACAGGAATGCAATTACAAAAGAAAAAACCTATCCAAGTGCCGACATAGGATCAGATTATAACTCAGTAGTGACCAAAATGAGACTAAAAATGAAAATAATAAAACGAAGAACAACAAATGCAAAAATCGATACAAGTAAAGTAAGGGATCCACTCATAAGGCAACGCCTGGTAGATGAAATCAACAACGGAATAATGACTGTTAAAGATCAAATTCTGCAAAATACTGATGACAAAATACTGAATTCTAAAAAATGGTTATTAATAAAGTCAGAAATAGATAAAAGTCAAAAAGAAATTCTAATACCAGCCAGATATAAATAGTAGCAATGGATAACGGAAGAAATTTTAGATTTAATGGAAGAAAGACATTAATATAAAAACAAAGATAATTATATGTAGAAAAAGTGGATAAACAAATAAAATACAGAATTAAGAAAGTGAAAGAACAATATTTATAAGAATAATTCGCAGAAATAGAAGAAAACCAGAAAAGACATGACAGTTTTAACACACATAAAAAAATTATTGAACTAATTCACAACAATAGAATAAGAAAATCGGAAATACAGAAAAATGCAAATGGGAAACTTGTGTTAAATACTAACGACAAGTTAAAGAGATAGACATAATGAAATGTCGAAAGAAAATGCAAAAAAGTATTTTTGAAGTGTGTATATTTTAGGCAATTCCTAGCTGAGCGCTTTCGGCTTTACAAAGCCATCATCAGAGCTATGCTACAATAAAATGTTCTTATAAGTACTAATTGGTAAAGATTGTAATTTTTAACTTACGTCAATTTTTTTATAATACCACTACAAAGGAGAGATCTCATTTCCTTAAATTTCAAAATTATGATTTTGTAGGTGTTGAAATTCTTAAAACATATAAAAAAACATATAAAAAGCCGACACTGGACTTCACAAACACGTTAAAAAATTGAAAAAATTTTTGTCATGGTACGGGTTTAAGAACCCGACCATTGATTGATGTGAGGACGTAGACTGAATAGAACTAATGAAATCAAATGTCGGTCCTTTTAAACGATTTTTCAAAAGTGACAGGTGACAAATGTCATATATAGGAAATAGAGATTGTTTTTTTAAATTCTTACAAAATTATTTAGTAGTTTGGAATTACTAATAGTCATCAAAGACTTTCTAAAAATTAAGTTTATAAATTAAATTTTATGTGTTCATCACATCATGTTGACATTAGTTTGTAAATTCACTCAAGTCATTGCTCAAGGTCAATGTATGTTCAATCTGACAGCCATCCTTAAGAAACAAGGGCTCAAATTGTTCAACAACAGGATGAAGAAGAAACATGGTATTAATGTTACGTTATCTGATACTTAAGTGTATTAAGAATTGTATGTCTTGATGGAAAATTGTAAGAACTTTGCATAAAAAATTTTTTTAAGAATGTATTTTCATGTTTCAATTAAGAATAACTGTCAAATGGATTACAAATTGTTGTAAATTTTAATAAAGTTTAAAATTTGTTTAAAAATATAAAAGTATGAAAAATATATAACAAGATTGCATGAGGTCACCCTTCTTCCTCTAAAGTCTCCCATAATAATTTAAAAAGAGGTTTATAGTTGCAATTGAGGTTGATTTGTGTGTTTAAGCAACAATCAGGGTTTATTTTCATTTCTTTGGATATCTCTAGATCTTCCAAGAGATTCATGAGTCTAAAGTTTTTATTGGGAATGTTGTGTAAAATTTTACTGTTTTCAGAAGGAGAAAATGAATGATTATTAAATTTAATGTGATATCCAAAGTTTGATTTTTCTGGGTTATTGAGGTGTTCTTTGATTCTTTGATTCAGAGTTCTCATTGTTCTACCTACATAAGTCATATTACAGTCACCACAGGACAGCTTGTAAATACCACTTCTGTTTAGTTTGTCAACTTTGTCTTTGGTCTTGCTGAAGATGGACTTGATGTTATATTTGGTTTTAAAGGAGATGTTTAAGTCACTAATTTTATTTACAAGTACTCTTGAAATTTTTTCTGAAATTGGTCCTAAGTAAGTTAAGGATCTATATGTGGAAGTAGTGTTGGATTTGTTATCAACATTAAAAGCTTGGTTTAGTCTCTTTTTGAGTATAGATTTTCTAATGACTTTATCAACAGTAGTAGAAGGAAAACCATTGTTGTTTGCTATCTGTTTAATGATGGAGATTTCTTTATTGTAATTTTCTTGAGACATAGGGATATTAAGAAGTCTGTGGACATAACATTGAATAGCTGCCATCTTGTGTTGAAAAGGATGATTTGATGATGTTGGTATCATATGGTCAGTTTGAGTAGGTTTTCTGAATATTGAAAATTCTAGTGTAGGCAAAGAAGAAAAGGAGGAAGTATTCTTTTTGATAGTTAGGTCTAAAAAGTTGATAATGTTGTTGCTTTCTACTTCTAAGGTAAAATTAATTGCAGGATGTAGATTATTAATTATTGACAAAATATTGTGAGGTTCTGAAGGTGGGCCTTCTATAAAGGCTAAAATGTCATCCACATATCTGTACCATAGGATTATTTGTGGTTGAGAATGAACAAAGTTAGTTTCGAGAGAGTCTAGAAAAAGATCTGCAAGTAGAGGAGATAAAGGATTTCCCATTGCTAAACCCTCTGGTTGTCTATAAATTTTATCGTTAAAGATAAAGAAATCTTGGGAAAGGCAAAATTGAAGTAGAGAAGTAATTTGTGAACATTTATTTTGGTCAATGTTTTTTCTTTGTAGAAGGTTATTGATGATTGGAATGGTGTCTAATCTGGGAACATTGGTGAACAGATTTGTTACATCGAAAGAGACCATAGTGAAGTTATTCGGAAGAGTATGTGAAGAAATTTTGGAGATTAAATCTAAAGTGTTGGCAATAGTATATTTGGGAGTGTAATTAAGTAGATCTAGTAGAAGAGTGTTGATAAATTTTGCTAGTGAAGCTAGTGGGGTATTGACAAAACTAACTACAGGTCTTATTGGAACATTAGCTTTATGAATTTTAGGGAGACCATAAAGTCTTGGTATTAAAGGATTGCTAGAAATGAAAGTTTTGGGGTTAGTTCCAAGTTCTTGAAACAAATTAGTTGCATTAGAAATATTTGATTTTAGATCATTTATAAGTTTATTCATTGGGTTCTTGTTAAGTGGAATAAATGAGTTGTTGGATAGAAAAGATTCTACTTTGTTAACATAATCACTATTGTACATGATTAGAAGACAGTTTCCTTTGTCAGCTTTTGTTATTATAAGTTTATGAGTTTTAATTTTATTAGAAATAGATTTAACCAGTTTAAATTGTGTATGAAAAGTTGACATAACCTTATTGTTAGAATAGTATTTTTGATAAGACTGATTTAGTGCAAAAAGACAAGACATTTTTAAGTTGGTTTTTACAGTGTTTGTGATGTTTAAACTATCTATGATGCTATCAATCTCTACACAGAGTAACTCAATATTATTTAAATCAGGTTTAGTTTTAATACAAAATTTGAGACCCTTACTCAAAAAATCAAGTTCTGGTTTTGTAAAATTGCAATTTGACAAGTTTTTAACCCTTTCATGAAATATATGATAAGAAGAGGATTGTTGACTCACCTGATTCCTGTTGTTATTATTATTTTTATTAAAAGGATGTTGTTGATTATTACCTGATCGATCAGATTTTAATTTGTTTAGTTTTTTATTTTTTCATATTTAAGGTGCTTACTCAATGCTAAATCATCTTGATGTTCTTGAAGTGAAGTGATAATGAAATGTTCATAGACAATAAAACAAAGTAGACGGAAATAGAAATAGAAGAGGATATGGTTTTAAAGATATTAAAAGAGGAAATTAAAATGACACTAAAAAACAGCAAAAATGGTAAAGCAGTAGGTCCACACTAAATCCCTATATAAATTTTACAATGCATAAATAATGAAACCTAAGACATTATAGTAAACTTATTTAACTCAGTATACAAAACGGGACACACACCGAAACAACGGTTACTCTTCACCTTTTGTGCTATCCCTAAAAATACAAACGCTAAATATTGCAGTGAATACAGAACAATAGCACTAATAAGTCACATTCTTAAATTATTCTTGAAAATAATACATGGTCGTATAAATAAGAAAACTAGAAGAAGGAATAGATGATAGTCAGTTTGGGTTCAGAAACGGACGAGGAACCAGAAAAGCGTTATTTGCATTTAATGTTTTAGCTCAAAGATGCATGGATATGAATGTTGATGTGCATGTTTGTTACGTAGATTTTAAAAAAGCATTTGACAAAGTAAGACAAAATTTTAAAAAATTAGTCCAAATTCTAAAGACAAAAAATATAGGCCCTGGGGACTTACGAATAATAACAAACCTCTACTGCAATCAAAGAGAATCCTAATAGATA